GTGGGTAAGAACCTCACTTCTTCAGACTTGCATTTGAAGAAGTGAGGTTCTTACCCATGAAAGCTTATGCTCCCAATACTTCTGTTAGTCTCAAAGGTGCCACAGGACCCTCTGTTGCTTGTTTCTATAAGTATCTCCACAAGGAACAAACACTTAATAATGGGCTATCTTGAAAGGAAAACTATAACACAATTCAATGGCTGGAAATTGAAGCTAGACAAATTCAGACTGGAAATAAGGTGTACATTTTTAACAGTGAGTGTAATTAACCATTGGAACAATTTGCCAAGGGTTGTGGTGGATTCTTCATCACTGACAATTTTTAAATCAAGATTGGATATTTCTCTAAAAGATCTGCTCTAAGAATTATTTTGGGGAAGTTTTATGGCCTGTGTTATACTGGAGGTCCCTTCTGGCCTAGGAATCTATTAAAACAACCGCATGGCTCAGAGATGCTTACTGTTTTATCCACTCAAAGTTCACTTCCTAAGTGTACTAACATGCTCCCGCATGTGCAACTGTTGTGGGATAGCTACTTGAGGCAGATGCTTTTCAGCCTCATGCATGCAGTCGTATGTGACTTCATACTCCACAGGTATCCATAGTTGAAATAATATGATCTGAACTGAACAATTGCCCTTGAGTCCTCTTTCAAAGATAAGCAACATTGGAACTCATTATTTTTCTCATGTGCAGAAAGCAGGCTGCCTTATTTTAAATTCTTTTACTCATAAAAATACATAATGCCCCATGATTCCCGCCTTTACTTGCATGACTCACAGCATTGTCATAAATCACATTACTCCTGCACTATATAAAAAAAACTTCACAAGATGGGAAAATTAATCACAATCATATGTTACCATATATCACAGAAAACTGTGTACATTTTTTCCCCATACAGGACATACTTCAACTAAAATAATTTTGACACCAATGATAGTGTTCCTTCTTCCTGTTAGAAGTAGGGTTTTTCCCCCCCATTTTGGTACATAAATAGAAGAGAACAGTCTTTGAAATATTTACGTCCAGAAGATTTTGCTGCTGTTTTTGCTGACATCTTCAATTCTCATTTTCTCTCCAGCCACGGGCATTCTTCCCAAATTTATAGACTAATCTTCGGCCATCCACACGCTCCAGTATTTCTCTTTTATAATAGTATCTGTTAAAAAAAAAAAAAGAAATAGATTTGATACTAGGCATTAGAGTTGAGAATAGTCTTTAAGGGACACTGTCTACTAAGAAATCACACTTGTAACTGAACATGTTTTACCTTCTTTTATTACAAGTAAAATCTAAGGTTATTGAGTAAAGAGATTAGAGAAAACATCTTAACTCTTTTTTGTTTGTTTGTTTTAGTTTATACATTTGCCTGCACCTTGAGTGGACTATGCCACTTTTCAGAAACACCAGCTCATAGCTTATTCAGTGCTGCCAACTCTTGTAACTGTATCGCAAGTTTCATGATATTTGACATTTCTGTAAAAGTGCCTGCTTCTGGAATCCTGTGATCAGGAAAGAATCTCATCTTTCATTTAAAACAAAAAAGAAGTTCCTAGCCCTACTGGGTACGGAGAAAAGCTTGAAAATGTGAACATCAAAAGGAACCCATGATTTTTAAGCCAATCTCATTATTTTGGGGGGCTTGACTTTTATGTGCAGGTTGGCAATACTGCGTATGCATTGCTTAGGCCCAATTTAAATCCTTTGAGTTTAGTAGTGACAAGGTCTTGAGCTGGCTCCTTTGCAGGGGGGTGAGTTTTACCTTTTGTGTTTAACCTTCTATAACAGTTAGTTTCACCTGTTTGCGTGGCTTGTTCACACAGCAACAAGGGGAGACAAAAACACTTAAAAAAAATAAGAAAATGTAATTATAACCCCCTCAAAATCAAGAAGGGTACTCAGATGGCAGACATAACCAATTAAATTACTTTTAACTCATTTTTTAAAATTAACAAGATTCCAAATTGATGCCATATCTCTTTAATTATTCTAGGATTCATGTTTTCTCAACTCATGCTACCTCATGGCCCGGCTGAGTTTTTCATAAGTCATGCTGCTATTGTTTTTCTTCTTTCCCCAGAGCTGAGCCACCGCCTCAGATTTTAAGAACCTGAAGACACCTTCAGACCGGTCTTCCCACTTTATTAATCCTGGGTTCTTCTCTGAATTCAGGAGAATATCTCTGATAAATTCCCAGAGGTGAGTTCCTCGAGGATCTGAAAGAAGATGGAAGAAACAGAAAGACTTTCTCTGGGGTATTTTTTGTTTTTGTTTTATTTTGGTATGGTAAGTTGCTCACAGAATGACTTGTCTGCATAGAAACCACAATCTGACTATGCCTCCAGACTTCCATGTACATTGTCTGAGATGTGTAAAGCAGTAATCTAAGCAGGGGCGGCTCCAGGCACCAGCGCAGCAAGCGTGTGCCTGGGGCGGCAAGCCGCAGGTGGGGTGGCGTGCCGGTCGTCGTGAGGGCGCAGTCAGGCAGCCTTCGGCAGCGTGCCTGTGGGACATCCACCGGTCCCGCGGCTTCAGCGGCAATTCGGCGGCGGGTACACCAAATCTGCGGGACCAGCGGACTGCCCGCAGGTGTGCTGCCGAAGGCTGCCTGACTGCCGTGCTTGGGGCGGCAAAAAACATAGAGCCGCCCCGAGACAAAGGGGGTGAGATAATATCTTTTATTTGACCAACTTCTGTTGGTGAGAGAGGCAAGCATTCGAGCCACACAGAGCTCTTCTTCTGGTCTGGGAAATGTACTCCAAGGGTCACAGCTAAATGCAAGGTGGGACAGATTGTTTAGCACATAGTCTAAGGGACCATTCAAGGTAGAAAGCTTGTCTCTCTCACCAACAGAAGTTGGTCCAAAAAAAGATTGTACTTCACCCCCCTTGTCTCTCTCATATTCTGGGACCAACACGGCTACAACTATACTGCATAAAGCAGTAATCTTGACATTTCTCAAATTGAGGTTATGTTCAGAATAGCTCCCCAAAGATTTGCATATCTCTGTAAAGCTGCAGCAAAATACTGCACCAACTCACCCTCAGTAACTTGTATGCAAAACAGAAAAATGGCACCTAAGCGAGTCTTTGTTTCATATTACAATGCTCAGTGCTTTGCATTAATCCTATCAAATGTGTACCCTGTTGAAGCCACATACCTCAGACCAGGAGTACTTGTGGCACCTTAGAGACTAACAAATTTATTAGAGCATACAGCCCACTTCTTCGAAAGCTTATGCTCTAATAAATTTGTTAGTCTCTAAGGTGCCACAAGTACTCCTGTTCTTTTTGCGGATACAGACTAACACGGCTGCTACTCTGATACCTCAGACCGCTGCTCTGTTGCTTTATACTTCTACACCATGACTTTTGGCACTTATACCCATTCAGGAAGGAAAATCACTTGGAGTAATTTGCCCAGAAAGCTGTCCTACTAAAGACTCAGGAGGATATTTTCATGACCCATTTGCCAAAATGGATGGAAATATTTGCACACCTAGGGTGTAACCTTCCCTTAAATCTCCATAATGGATGTGGATAATGAATCCTTCCTTAGTGGAGGAATGAGCCAAGGGCATTGCAAGGATTGAATTTCTCAGAGAGGAGATAGTTGGCATTGCAAGGATTGAATTTCTCAGAGAGGAGATAGTTCTGGTGGCCAAGGCATCCCTAACTTCTTTTCAACCCAGCAATCATGTCCTAAAGGAGGACACATCTAATTCTGTGTTTCTGAAAGGTTCTTATTGATTAGGGCATTATTTGGAACTTCTACCCTGGACAAAGCAGTTGGTCAGATCCTCAGCTGCTGTAAATCAGTGTAGCTCCATTTGACCCATTTGCTTTGAAACTGGGCTCTTTCTTTCTGTTGCTTCCTTTTTCTCCCAAAACTTGAACCTAAACTTGTTCTGTCTCTGGGCCATTAATCAAGCCACCAGTGTTGCCATAAGTAGTTGACTTACTGTGCTTCTTGGTGTGGGACTTTGGAGGATGATCTTGTGTTTTTTTCTCATCTGAAAACTCTGCAGAGGATGAAAATTAAATTATTCTCATAAACTTGGCTAAAGGTTTTCTGTTGACTAGCATATTCAAAAATAAAAAACCACAACAATGAATAATTGCCTGTTTTAAAGATAATCATCTTTCAAAAACTAAATGAGTAATCCGGGGGTTATTTTTGGTTTCTGGGTTATATTTTAATCAGCCAGGCTACACTTCACAAAGAGATCATTGATGAATAAAGGACAAATACAGAGGTATACAGTTGACTCTGGACATGTTAATTAGATTAACAAATATCTCACCCCATGTCCCTTGCACCATATATGTCAGAATAAAAAATAAGAGGATCATATATATAAAAGCAATCCTGAATTCTCCCATTATGGCCCAGACTTTGCTGTAGCATGTAACTTTGGGGGCACCTTCCCCCCCCCCCCGGTTGTTCTATAGATGATCTAATGTGAATTGCATGTACTGGTACTAATGTAATGTACACCCACCTGCCTAAATGGAGAATTATCTGACAGGGCATTGTTCTTAAGAAAATAAATAAAAGCCGAGTAGTCCCAGAACTCAAGCTGGTGTTGTTAGGAATTTTTGACAGCTGGGCACATATATTTTATTTGACAGCTATAAGCCACAAGAACATGCTACTTCTCATCAGTGCAACATTTTTGCCTGTAAACACTCTTAAAAGGCACCAGATTTCTAGCTCAAGCCATTCCTCAGAAAAAATAAAGAATAAGGAAGTTGTTCATTTCCTATGACCTAACTAAAGAAGATGATATTTCTGTGTTTAGTAGTCACCTTCTTGGAAATTAACAAAATCTGAATCTATTACTGACATTAACACAAAAGGTTTCTTTTAATCAGGCTGAGAACTTCCACAAAGTCTATGAGACAATTCTAATTATAAGTCCCTCTTGTGCTTGCTCTGCAGGATATTTAGAGACTGAATTCCATAAAGTAAATGCTTAAGACCTATGCATGTTTTTCCAGTGGCTAAGTATTCACAATTACCATAATTTTGCATGGAAAGCAGGAATTTGCATGTGCAAATGACTTAACATAAATATCTATTTGCATAAAATCTTGCCTGATTAGCACATGCATCTACAATAATTGTATCTAAAAATATTGGTGCAAAAATATTTACAGACATACTGTACTCTACACCCAACTGGAAATATGAACTCAGAAGTAGGGTTGTCCAGAAAACTGAATATTAGGTCTAGGTGCAGGCCTGAAAAATTGAAAAAAAAATTATAATTTCAGGTCAGCCTGGATGAAAGTGTTTTGAAATTTTTGGTGAACCAAAATGTTAAAAAAATGAATTTCAATGTTGAGTGTTTTTAATACATTTTAAATTATTTTAAAAATAAAACCGAGGGAAATTCCCAAAACAAAAAGTCAAAATGTTTCATTTCATAAATGCTGAAATGAACTCTTTCTGACATTTCTGGAAAAAAACATTCTGACCAAAACAATTTGCCAGCATTGGTCTAAATTTGTGAATGGTTTTGATTAACCCAAATTTGCATTTTTGTGTTTGTGAAAAAAATGTTTCACACAAGATTTTGCTCAGCTCTACTCAGGGCAGAGAGGACAGTCCAGGCCTACCCTGTTTTAAGTCTGATATAGCATGGTCTTGATCCACAGTTGCAAATCAGCTCTGGGCTCATGTTTATATATCCTGCCCACTTTCAGAGAGCCCACTGTTTACTTGCCTGTCCACTTTCAGAGAGCACCAGCCACTGATGGAAGTCACTGAGCTTGTGGGAAAACAGTGAAATTAAACGAGGGCCTGATTTTGCTGACTTTATCCATGGTAAACTCCCATGGATGTCACTCAACTGCATATCAAAAGTCAGTGGGACTTTTGTCTTGATTAAGGACTGCAGCGTCAGGTCCTTAATTTGTAGGTAGTTTTACCTAACAATACGATTATTAAAAAAAACACCTGATTTTAGAATCCCCTATTTAGCTTAAAATGGCTTTGGTATATTCGCCTTAGCTGGTAATTTATTCAATGAAAGTCAATTGCCTTCACTTAGTGATTTATTCTTTATTACACCTGTGTAAACAGCCTCCCATTCTGCCTTTACACTTCCACGAAGCCCTGTTCTGAGCACACAACATTTGAAGGCTGGGGCTTGACAGATGAAAAGAATTATGATGCAGTTTCAGCAAAGCTGCCTTGCAAAACTTGTGACAAAAGATTTCATATTATTTGCATATGATTCAGGTATGAGCTACTTCTTTATGAGATATACAAATTTAGTTTTTACAACAGGCTGTGCCCTTGGCGTGCCACCCTAGCTCTAGGCTCAACAAGTCAGCATATAAACACACCAAGCCAAGAATCTTGCTGATTCCCAGCACTGTCAGAAAGCTCTGAAGAGCTGGCAGCCATTTTATGAGAATGGGTGTGGGCAAGAGAAAAAGCAATTGGGTTTGGTGGGTTTTTTTAACATTTATTGCTGAATGCATTTGTTTAAAGTGCACGTCACCTTGGCGAGCCTTGCTGTGCTTCTAGGTGAGGGCCACACTGAGCATGCACATACAGATTCTGTTATTGTAATCTGCCCTTTAATTGTGACAGGTCAGTTTACGGATGAGGGCCCAGTGGGCAAATGAACTGGATAGCACCCAGCATGAGTCTCAGTGGGGAGCTGCAGAGGCAGTGGGAGGAGTGTAGTCACACTGCATTTCTTCTTTCCATCTCTTCCCATATCCCGTTCTTTAACCTTTCTTTTCTCACTCTCTCTTTCTCTCTCTCTCTCTCACCCTGATATTTTTTTTACCTTTGATTCTTTTTCAGTATTTTTTTCTCTTTAGACTACTTTCTCTTTTCCCCCTTTCCTTTCCTTATGTTTTCTCCCCTCCTTCCCCATGTTCCCTCAAGAGTCCTTGCTTCTTGTCAATATCGACTTTTTCTTCTCATCTCCTTCCTTCTCTTTCTTCTTTCCCCTCTTCTACCAGTTCTCCAATCTCTCTTCCTTTCTTCTCTTCCCATCACTTCTCTCTCTCCTCTTTCCTCACTCCCTGCCCACAGCTGCCACTAAGTCACCATCCTCTAAATCATGCTTGCCACATTTTCATGTGTCCACCCACCACCATTCACTTACGCTTTTACCACTCTTTACTTCCCATGCACCTGCCACTCACCCATTATCTCACTTGCCTACAAAAAGGCAGATTATATTCCTATTACATCCTCTTTATACTGCTCAGGAGGTGCAAAGAGGCCATCAAAGGGGTAAAATGTCATGCTGTGGACATGATGTGCAGAGGCACCATAGGGCTGGAGTAGGTGATCCACTGAAGCTGTGGGAAAGCTGCCTAGGAAGTATATCCGGGAACAGCTCCTGCTCTGTTGCAGTTCAGTAGGGGAGACTTACGCCTGCCTATGGCCACTCTGTGCTGATGTAACACCATATCTGGCCATTGATACCTGTATATGAATCACTTTGCTCACCACTGAAGTGCACTTCTGAAGCGGGATGAGGCAGTCCTTTAGTTGTGCACAGCCACACCACACAACAGGTTATGACAGGATAGGGACATCTTATCTTTCTAACACTGTCTCTTCCACCTTGAGTAGGTCACTTGAAAAGATATGGGGAGTCACCCTGAGGTTACTGATTATTTGATGTTCTTTTTTTCTTGACAAAGAGAGGAGAGCAGAGCACCTTTTAAATAACTATTTAGTTAGGGTTGCTAAAATAGCTAATATCAACATCAATATTGCTTGGTTAAAAACTATTGGATGTCTACACTCAGACCTGCAACAGAAGACTTTTATATAGCAGTAATTCTAGGGTGTGTGACACAGATGATCAGCAATAGAATTAAGACTTCTTACCAAGAGGCTGGTGACTGGTAGTAGTCGTGGAAATCTGTGCGCGACAGAAAGTTTTACTGTCCAATAACTCTGAGGATTCAAAAGAAAAAGTTTTATGTTAACATCCTCTTACCACAATAAAACACTTCATAAATGCCTGAAGCATTGTGATGTTAGTTACCTACTGTGCTACCATAACCACTGTCATACAAATAATTCTCTTCTTTCCAGGAGGCCATTAAGGATGGATCTGAAGATAGGGACCAAAAGGAAAGTCTATATCAGTAAAAGAATACTATCCAGCAGCGAGGTGAGTAACAATGAGACACTGAACCAGTAGGACTAAGAGAAATGTGACAAATAGCAGACCATGGGGAAAAAAACATGCAGGTTGCTACACCATAGTCTGCTAGGTTCACCCATGTTGTTTGTATACTAGAGCAAATTTGTTAATACAGAACATTTATTTTTAAAAAATACTTTGTCTTGGCCTGTATTTTTCTAATATTCTCTCAGGTAATATTTCAACTATGTGTGTTCCAATGGGAGACCAGCTCTTCTTCCTGCCTGACCCAGCAGTGAAGTGTGTGACATTACGCTTTGTTGCTATAGAAATGATTGCATCCTCAACAATTCAGCATTCTAGTAGAATTGAAGAAATTAAGGTTTATTCTTTGTTTGTATTATGGTGGTGCCCAGAAGCCCTTACTGAGGCCAAGGCTCCCTTTAGTTAGCTGACATATCAGTTCATAGAAAAAAACATGATATAACTGAAAGTTCAATCTTCTATGTGGGTCCCATTTTATATTATTAGATATATGCAGAATCTCTATTGAGGATCATACTCAGGGCCTGGTGCTAAACTTACATATATCCCTAACCTAAAGGACATCTTATTGGGCACAAAATGCATAATGCATGAGTATGGAAGATTTTTAAAGCCATCCTTAGACTCATAGTGCTTCATACAATACAAGGAAAATTCAATGGAATGTTATAATAGCAGACTCATAACCTGCACACATTTGATTTTCTTCTCAGCTGCTGGTGAAATTATGATGCTTTTTACATTACAACTTTTCAGGCCAGAGATGTTAAGTTTGTCTTTCTTTCTCTTTCCAAATCAAAGGCCATGAAGCATAAGACTCAAATTTGGGATTTATTTATTTTTTCAAGTTAATGCAATTGGAAACTGAAAATGAGTCACTAGCTCAATCATCTTGCTTGGCTGCATTAACATTTATGACATGGGAATTTAGCAGGCATTAGAACTACATGTTGGGGCATCCCGAGCCCATGTTCTTACAGTAGCACACACCCTTTTCTTGTTTGGACATCTGATCCACCCACTGTTGTCTCTGAAAATAAACCTTACCCAGCTAAAGCTTGGGGGGATTATTTGGCCTCACACTTACAGCTGTGCCAGCATCCACACTGAGGCAACCTTCCTTGACTTAATAGGACCAGAGAGGATTCCCCTCTGAACCCACCAACTTCATTTCTATCTCATCACAATGAACTGGCATGTAGCCATATCAAGTTCTCCCATCCTCAAGAAAGCAGCACGCCCAGCCCCTGCCAGCTCGTGGACATACTGACTGTGCCTGGGTAATTGAACCTTGGCTTTTCATGTGGCAATGAGCAGAGCATCACCACAGCCCCACTGCACCAGCCCCAATCCAGCAATAGTTTTTAATAGTGGGGAAGTGACCACCATAAAAAAAAGTGAATACACAAGGCTTTAATATTTGCACCGTCTGTAGATGAATACTTTGTGCTGGCATTGTGTATCTCTACTGAGGGGTGGATTAAGACTTAATCAGGCCAAGATCCACAAAGATATTGGGGATTCCTTCTCAGAGATTTTATCTTTCTCATATAGAAGACCTTTCCTTTCTCCAACTCAAATACAGGTAACTCCCCTCCAGCAGAAAGCCAACCTGCAGCTATACACAGGACTGTTACCTGCTATTCTTCCTCTGTCTGTGTCTCACTGTTCTGTCTGACCCAGCTCTGACCAAGGGGAACATATACCAGAAATCCTAAATTCCTGCCTTGATCTGTGCCTAGCCATATTCTGTGCCGCAGGGAAAAGGCAATAGACTAGATGAATGAAATAGGCTGTCAGTGTTTGTCTGAAACACTCCACGCTGTAAGCTGATGTTGATTCTTCTGGGAAATAGTATGTGAGTATGCCAGTGGCTCATTAACACACCCACATATAAGGGAGTTGAGAGTGGCTATGTAGAAAGATCTGGAGTGTGAGCTGAGCCATTCTTGGAAAGGAACCCTGAAAATGGCCAAAGTTGAGGAGAGGACTTGAGCTTGATTTTGTGTTGTTCCATTGTAGTTCTTTTTAACAATGAAACCAAGCCCCAGGGAGGAAGTTATGAGCCATTACAAATTGTGCAAACTGTGTTTGGAGAAAGGTGATGAAGACACTGGTCAGGTGACATTTTAGAGGTCTCCTAACTCAAGTAACCCTATGCAATGTAGTGTTTCTGGTACCATGTGAGACCTCAGAGATTCAGTAAAGAGAATTTACTGGCATTTTAGAAACCTCAGTTTTAATTTCATCTCCATTATTTAATGACCTCTTCTCTGGAAAACAGACTTGTTTTGGTATTTAAGTGAAGCTGTTGTTAAAACATCTACTATGAACTTTATCTTAGCAGCGATTTTCCTTGAACATTGACATCCAAATAAAGTCAAGTTACCTGGCACACCATAACAATTGCTATTACTCACCTGTTTGTTCTGTTTTTACAACGACATTATGTGACGGGTACATTTCACTGCCACACTGACCTGCAAGAGATTGCATGGGAGAGGGGATGTGTAATTATGTGCACAGCACACACAGGAAAGATAGGGCTTCAAGCAGGGATCGATACCAAAGGGCTAATTTTGAAAAGACATGAGGTCTCACACACACACACATACATCCTCTGCCCATGCCACACCCTGTGAACTTCTCATTTAACTTCCTAGTGTGAATCTGCTAAATTACTATGATATGGCTGGAAATGGGAAGTGTCAGGTGGATGGATAGAAGGAAGGAAGAGTCTGTCATTTTTACCTTACTATGTCTGTTTCAGAGACGGTGGGTGAGGTAATCTGTTTTATTGGACCAACTTCTATTGGTGAGAGAAATAAGCTTTCGAGGCACACAGAGCTCTTCTTCAGCTCTGGGAAAGGTACTCTGAGCATCACAGCTAAATGCAAGGTGGAACAGATTGTTTGGCATAAGTAGTTAGCACGTATTCTAAGGGACCAGTCAAGGTAGAATGGCCGTTAACACCCCAGAAGTCATAGGACAAAAAGAGGGGTTAGTGGGTTACAGATTGTTGTAATAAGCCATAAATCCAGTGTCTCTGTTCAGTTCATGATTTTTAGTGTCTAGAAGAATTATGAAGTTAAGCTCCCAAGCTCATCTTTTGAAAGTGTTGTGCAGGTTTCCTTTGTGGAGGAGGACTCATAGGTCAGATATAGAGTGTGTGTTTTGTGAAGTGTTCACCCACAGGTGATAGGGTGTTTTTGTCTTTTATCATTTTCCTGTCTGATTTCATTCGAGAGTGTAGTGATTGTCTTGTTTCACCCACACAGTTGTTATTGGAGCATTTAGTGCACTGGATGAGGTACACCACATGTTGTGATATGGAATGTGTAGGATCCATGGATCTTGAAAGGTGCGTTGTGGGGGTGTTGATCATTGTAGAGCAGAGATATGTCTACACATTTTGCATCTGTTGTTCTGGAAGGGACTGGTGCCACTTTGAGTTGATGTGTCTCTCTCTCACCAATGGAAGTTGGTCCAATGAAAGATATTACTTCACCCTCTCTAATATCTTGTGACTGACACAGCTACAACTACCCTGCATACATCTTTTTCAGTCATTCAACAGAATGAGTTGCCTTCTTGCTACATGAGGCCTCAAAAGCATGGAGGGGAGTTCTACATTTCTGCACACCTATGAATCTCCTGAGCATCAGTGGGTTACAGAGCTCCTTTCTGCAATATAAGAATGTGGGCTACTTGTTAATAAAGAAAAACCTTTGTCTTTACTGATAAAACATCCAATCTGTTTTCATGGTCTTTTCCCAATATTGCTAAATTGACTAATGTCTTGTGGACCAGGTAAGACCTGAGTAAAGTGGGGGATAACCAGGAGTTTCAGTCCTGTGTCTCTTAGGAGCTCTGCAGAAATGAAGTTGCACTCCTGGGAAACTCTTAAACCCATCACAAGCAGAGCTTCAGTCACTGCAAGGCTGAGGAACATAAGTGACCTTAGATCAACCCAGAATTCACAAAATTGTGGTTGCAGTCCTATCCTGTCTATGCGTTAGTGTATATTTACCATTCCATTTTAGGTGCTGAAGGTTGCTGTAAAGAAGTTGGCCGGCTGTCCCAGCTGCGTGGGTGAATTCATGCAAAGTCATGCTGCACAGATGTTCGCCATCGATGTCAAAGTCCTGGAAAGGTATGCAGTTGGCATCCAGCTGGTTGGTATCCAGGAAATGCTGTAGCCACTCCCACACCTGGTACTTGGTCCAGTATTGAGGGTGTATCTCATGCCACTGAGTTCCATAGAAACTGCCAGGCACTGGGAAAGAGAAATGTTACATATTCACTCTATCTGTTAACACAACAGTAATGCTGAGCACAGAATGTCTATGTGCTGTGTACAGGAAAGAAAGTATGGTCTGGTGCTTAAAGCACATCACGGGAAGCCAGCAGATCTGAATTCTCTTCCTAGTCCCTAACACTAATTTGCTGATTGTCCTTGAGCAAGTCACCTTAATGCTCTTTGACTCAGCTTCCCAATCTGTAAAACAGAAAAAATCAAACTAACCTAGGTTACTGGGGTATTATGGGAATTAATTCGTTCATGTTTGTAACATGCTTTCAAATTCTTGGGTGGAAGGCTCTACAAGTGGGAAAGATATTAGAGCATAGATGTATTGACGCCCACATGGGAAAAGATACCTTTGAAGTATGTATAATAATGATGGGCCAAATCCTGCAGTTCTTGTTCGGGCAAAACTCCCTTTGAGATCAGTGGGAGTTTGGCTTGATTAAGGACTGAATAAATGCTGAGTATGGACTTCAGGATTTAGCCCAATAATGATCAAATAAATGTATATTTAAAGGTATATTATTACATAGTAAAATCTATCATATATAACCACCAACAAACATCAGCTGTGTAGCAGAGCTGGCATCCTAGTAAAGGCAGAGAAACAACTCATGCCTTGTGTTTGGAGATACATCAAAGAGATCTCTTAATACGCAAGGCTCCCTAATTTGTTCCTCAGAGGTTTTACTGAACATCTAAATTCTTTTTTGGTTGGCCAAATCCTAAGCAACACAGCCTCTGTTATGTTCTTACATGACAATAATTTGTATTAAAAATGCTAGAATCTAAGTGCACAAAAAGGATTTGTGCCTGCCACTGGGGTAATGAGATGTCGATACCCTGACAATGGGGTAATGAGATGTCGATGTTCACAGACGATACCAAGCCGGGAGGGGTTGCAAGTGCTTTGGAGGATATGATTAAAATTCAAAATGATCTGGAAAAACTAGAGAAATAGTCTAAAGTAAATAGGATGAAATTCAATGAGGACAAATGCAAAGTACTCCACTTAGGAAGGAACAATCAGTTGCACACATACAAAATGGGAAATGACTGCCTAGGAAGGAGTACTGTGGAAAGGGATCTGGGGGTCATAGTGGATCACAAGCTAAATATGAGTCAACAGTGTAACACTGTTGCAAAAAAAGCAAACATCATTCTGGGATGTATTAGCAGGAGTATTGTAAGCAAGACACAAGAAGTAATTCTCCCAATCTACTCCGCGTTGATTAGGCCTTAACTGGAGTATTGTGTCCAGTTCTGTGTGCCACGTTTCAGGAAAGATGTGGACAAATTGGGGAAAGTCCAGAGAAGAGCAACAAAAATGATTTAAGGTCTAGAAAACATGACCTATGAGGGAAGATTGAAAAAATTGGGTTTGTTTAGTCTGGAGAAGAGAAGACTGAGAGGGGACATGATAGCAGTTTTCAAGTACATAAAAGGTTGTTACAAGGAGGAGGAAGAAAAAATGTTCTCCTTAACCTCTGAGGATAGGACAAGAAACAATGGGCTTAAATTGCAGCAAGGCGGGTTAAGGTTGGACATTAGGAAAAACTTCCTAACTATCAGAGTGGTGAAGCACTGAAATAAATTTTCTAGGGAGGTTGTGGAATCTCCATTATTGGGGATTCTTAAGAGCAGGTTAGACAAATACCTGTCAGGGATGGTCTAATACTTAGTCCTGCCTTGAGTGCAGGGGACCGGACTAGATGACCTCTCCAGGTCCCTTCTAGTCCTGTGATTCTATGATTCTATGTTCTAATTTACCAAGGCGAGCACAAGCACCACAAGCGATTGCTGGGGATACTGCGTGTGGTGTGAGGAGGAGAGAAACAATCCTGCACTGACTTGACTACTCACGGGCTGTCTAATCTCCGGCAGAAGGTCTGGAATGGAAAGTAATTCAATGAGAGGCAACTCATAGCCCGATTTATACATCTGGCAGCTTGGGAAGGTGTAAATCATAAGGCCAATCCTGAGATTTGTGTGTGCAGAAGTTAGTGTGCACAATGTAGTAGTGAAAATATTAACTATATTAATATGTAATAACATATATTAATATTAATAATGTGTATACAATGTTGTAAATTTGCACAGCACTTTATACACAAACACACACACCAGACCTTATTCACATTGACCAGTAACCTCTTCTGTAAATGAGACTACACACAGAGTCAGGGACTACTCAGGCCTGGTCTACACTACGAGTTTAGGTCGAATTTAGCAGCATTAAATCGAATTAAGCCTGGACACGTCCACACGACGAAGCCCTTTTTTTCGACTTAAAGGGCCCTTTAAACCAGTTTCTTTACTCCACCTCTGATGAGGGGATTAGCGCTAAAATCGGCCTTTGCGGGTCGGATTTGGGGTAGTGTAGACAGAATTCGACGTTATTGACCTCCGGGAGCTATTCCACAGTGCTTCATTGTGACCCCTCTGGACAGCACTCTCAACTCAGATGCACTGACCAGGTAGACAGGAAAAGCCCCGTGAACTTTTGAATTTCATTTCCTGTTTGCCCAGCGTGGAGAGCACAAGTGACCATGCAGAGCTCTTCAGCACAGGTAACCATGATGGAGTCCCAGGATCGCAAACGAGCTCCAGCATGGACAGAACGGGAGGTACGGGATCTGCTCGCCATATGGGGAGACAAATCAGTGCTAGCTGAACTCCGTAGCAGTAAACGAAATGGCAAAATATTAGAAAAGGTCTCAAAGGCCATGAAGGACAGAGGCCATAACAGGGACGCACAGCAGTGCCACATGAAAATTAAGGAGCTAAGGCAAGCCTACCACAAAGCCAGAGAGGCAAACGGAAGGTCCAGGGCAGAGACGCAAACATGCTGTTTCTACGCGGAGCTGCATGCCATGCTAGGAGGTGCAGCCACCACTACGCCAACCGTGTGCTTTGACTCCATCAATGGAGAATCACGCAACAAGGAAGCGGGTTCGGGGTACGAGGAAGATGATGATGAAGACAATAAAGATAGCTCACAGCAAGGAAGCAGAGAAACCGGTTTCCCCAACAGCCAGGATATGTTTATCACCCTGCACCTGGAACTAGTAACCCCCGAACTCACCCAAGGCGTGCTCTCAGACCCTGAGGGCACACAAGGGACCTCTGGTGAGTTTACCTTTGTAAATATTATACATGGTTTAAAAACAAGCGTGTTTAATGATTAATGATTAATTTGCCCTGGCAATCGCGGCCAGTACAGCTACTGGAAAAGTCTGTTAACATGTATGGGGATGGAGCAGAAATCCTCCAGGGATATCTCCAGAAAGCTCTCCTTCATGTACTCCCAAAGCCTTTGCAAAAGGTTTCTGGGGAGGGCTGCCTTATCCCATCCGCCATGGTAGGGCACTTTACCGCGCCAGGCCAGTAGCACGTAGTCTGGAATCATTGCATAACAAAGCATGGCAGCGTATGGTCCCAGTGTTTGCTGGCATGCAGACAACATCCATTCCTTATCTTCCTTTGTTATCCTCAGGAGAGTGATATCATTCATGGTCACCTGGTTGAAATGGGGTGATTTTATTAAGGGGACATTCAGAGGTGCCCGTTCCTGCTCAGCTGAACAGAAATGTTCCCCGTTGTTAGCCACGCAGTAGAGGGGAGGGGTGAAGTGATCACCCCAGAGAATTGGGTGTGGGGGGGGGGTAGTTGGGTTTGTGCTGCATGTTAACCCAGAAACTGCAGCCCCTCCTTTTACATTGCAAACCCATTTTAAATGGCCAACCCAATGGGTGCTGGGTATGGGAAATGAGGGCACTACCATTTGAAACCATTCCCACATGTTAAGAAGGTTAAAAAAGCCAAAAGACTGTGACTTACCATGGCTGCCTGCAAGCCGAAATCTGTTGCCTGGCACTGCGTGAGTGATCTCTCACATCAAACTGACAGACCCTCAATATAAGAGGAAAAATGCGACCTTGTAATGAAAGCACATGTGCTGTGTAATGTGAACAGCAAAATTTAACGTGAAAGAGTGTACCCATTGTTCTCTAAAATATGTCTTTCTAACCACCTCTCCCTTGTCCTCCACCAGCTGCAAATGTTTCTCCTTCACAGAGGCTAGTGAAGATTAGAAGGAGAAAACGGCGGACTCGGGATGATATGTTCTTGGAGCTCCAGATGTCCTCCCACACTGACAGAGCACAGCAGAATGCGTGGAGGGAGTCAATGTCAGAGTGCAAAAAAGCACAATATGAACGAGAGGAGAGGTGGCCGGCTGAATCGCGGGCTGAAGAGAGCAAGTGGCGGGCTGAAGAGGATAGGTGGCGTTAGCTTGCTGACAAAAGGCAAGAGTCGATGCTCCGGCTGCTGGAGCATCAAACTGATATGCTCCAGCATATGGTTGAGCTTCAGGAAAGGCAGCAGGAGCAGAGACCGCCACTACAGCCCCTGTGTAACCAACAGCCTTCCTCCCCAAGTTCCATAGCCTCCTCACCCAGACGCCCAAGAACGTGGTGCGGGGGCCTCCGGCCACCCAGCCACTCCACCCCAGATGATTGCCCAAGCATCAGAAGGCTGGCCTTCAATGAGAGTTAAAGTTTTAAAGTTTTAAACTGCAATGTGTTCTTGTCCTTCCCTACTCCCCCACCCCACCCGGCGCTTCCCTCCTCCCTCACCCTCCCGGACTACCTTGGCAGTTATCCCCCTAGTTGTGTGATGAATTAATAAAGAATGCATGAATGTGAAGTAACAATGACTACATTGCCTCTGCAAGCGGTGCTCAAAGAGGGGAGGGGAGGGTGGTTAGCTTACAGGGAAGTAGAGTGAACCGGGGGGGGGGGTAGTGGGAGGGTTCATCAAGGAGAAACAAACAGAAGTTTCACACTGTAGCCTGGCCAGTCACAAAACTGGTTTTCAAAGCTTCTCTGATGCGCACCACGCCCTGCTGTACTCTTCTAACCACTCTGGTGTCTGGCTGCGTGTAATCAGTGGCCAGGCGATTTGCCTCA